TTTAAAACAAAAGATGATGTGGAACTAATTTAAAATGTTTTATTTCCATGTCTACCTAGTATAGTGATACATTCAATTCAGAAATAGAAAATAAACATTTTGTCGTTTTTTGTAGAAAATTATTTCAATTTGTTTTAAATACGTCTAGAAACCTCATTGGAAATAGTTTTTTTTTTTAAGTAAATACCTCATTGGAAATAGTTTTTTTTTTTAAGTAAATACCAAAGAACACATTTCAAAGAACGGAAACTCCGCCCACTTCTACCGTAATATAAAGAAATTACTGAAAAAAATTATTTTTTTAACATTTTGGCACACCGGATTGAATATATATGATCTTACTACGATAACATCAAATTACTCTCTTTTGGGGTTTTAATAATATAAAAAATTCTTTTTTGAACGGGATATGGTTATGCGTAATAACATACAGTATGTAAATACCTTAAATCTATGGTATATCAAGACCATGATGCCTGATACTTTATCACATCCTCCTCGAGGTGAACCTGTTTTTCATGTTAACTATCGCGTCGACATAGCAAAAGATCATGGATCTAGAGAAAAACTCGATAAAACCTGTAATCTTCGGTATTATTCAACCCGCGCCCATGAGACAAATTGCACTAAGTTAGTGTGTATTTAAATGAATATCTCCTGATAACTGGCGCTCTTCGGTTGTAATTTACCCTTGTGTGGGTATAGCTGTTCTCTGTCTGGATGGACTTTCCTTTTCTCCGCAACTCGTGGGTTTAAAGTTTGAATGAACCTAAAAACAAAAATTCTTCAATAGGGGAGGGTTCGGCTATACAGAGCTCCAAACTTTCGGTCAGGCAAACCGTTGAATAGGTGTTATAAAAAAAATATAGAAATATTTTGGTTACATCTGAATTTATACTATAGATTAAACTGCACCACTGCAAAGCTGCGCCCACCAGCTTGCTGCATTGTCTCTTCAATAACAAGAGCCATGGGTTTATAGGGATAATATAATATATTATATTTTTATAATAAAAATAAAAATTGTTTGATACATGCCTTTTTTTTACTGAAAAATAGGGTGTATTTGTTTGGTGTTAAATAAAGCATAAACTAATTTAAGTTACATCCGGACATACAAAGGCTTTATTCGTTACCTTCAAGAAATAAAGTGCAATAAAATTTACATCGAAATAATATATAAATACTTATCTGGAATTATTCCCCAGCAGGCTCACCTACATCATATTTTTATATTTTCATGTTCCTATAAAAGAATTTATTAAATGCAATTATCATCTAGTAAATTTGAAAAATAACAAATACCATCACTGAATGTTATTTATTTAATTAACATATTAGTAATTACATATACCCTTTTTCTGAATCAAATGGGAATGGGAGTTTTTTTTTCCTATTTTGCACAAAAGCTTTTCCAACCAAATTGTGTGGGAGATAAGTTAAAAAGAGTTTAATTTAATATGTAAATAACTTATAACGACCAGATTTTTGAATATACCATACTTTAATAAAATTTTTACTATTATAAAATTATTATTATAATAAAATTATTATTATAATAAAATTATTAGAATAAATATAATATTTTTAAATTTTTAAGTTTTTATTTTATCCACACTGGTCAGTTTTTCGAATATATTTTAATAAAATTATTATAATAATAAAATTATTATTATTATAAAATTATTATTATAATAAAATTATTATAATAAATTTAATATATTTAAATTTTTATTTATTAAACTATTCTTAACTATTGTTATTTAAAACAATAGAATAATGAAAGGCACCCAAATTCTGCAATGAATGGGACTCCTTGAATAAGTTTAAATAATCTTTTGTAATTATGCGCAGGTAAAACATTGCTTCTTTTAAATTGTAATATTTGCGCTATCAGAAACTATTATTATTAATTGATAATAGTTATTAATTGAAGGACATTTTTATCCTAATTATAAAAATGATTATCGACCCTAAAAATAGAGGAACTCAAACTTTAGTTTGAACCATTAATAATTCCAATTATTATATAAGATTTTTTACTTTGTTTTATTGTTTAAAAAAGAAAATAAATTATGTTGATATTTAAAAACTAAAATAAATACTTAAAATAAATTTTTTTTATTATTTACTTATAATTATTATTATAAGCTCATAAATTATTATATTTATTTTTGTCATTTTGTGCTGCAGAAATGAACTTTAAAGACAGAGGTATTGTGAAAATTATCTAACTCCAGCATTAAACTCTTACATCGACATAATATTTAAAGTTTTTAAAATTTGTTCCACCATTTCGGCTTTTCCCCAACATTCTGCAGTGTGGTCCAGAAATTCCTTTCTTATAGGACCTTTCAAGTCCGAGTCGGTTCCTTTTAATCTCGCGATTCCTCCATTGACGCCGGTGTCCCTCAGGGCTCGGTTCTCGGCCCCCTACTCTTTAGTTTGTTTATAGCAGACATTCCTCTCCGGCAGGCCCCTGTCAAGCATATCTGCTTCGACGACGAATGCATTGTCTTCATGCGATCGCCCAATCCCAGTCGCATTTCTAGTGAGCTTAATGCCTACCTTGGATTCCTTTCTGACTACTACACCAGGTGGAAAATTAAGCTCAACCCCGACAAGATCTCTGCTATAGCTATTGTTGTGTTATGTCACTTGATATATTAATATAAAAGTTATGTTATTTGCAAACCATTTTTCTTGGTAGGTAATTTAACATAAGAAAATACTAAAGTCAATTCTGCAAACAACGCGGAAGTATTGTTACTAAATATTATTGAGTTCAGCCATTGACCTCAACATTTACTATATGAGGAGTTGCATGTTTTCCAAATATTGACAGTTATCAGTAGGTAATTAGGTCAATATTTTACTTTCTATTTTTCTGCGTGATTGCGGAAAAGTAATGGAAATTCCCGCCCATGATCAATGTTTTTCACTCTTTTCTAAAGGTGAAAATATAGGTGGAAGTATTTGAAGTTCAGAGTTCTTTAGTCTGTTCGAGAGGAGAGTGCGTTTTGCGATTGTTAAAAAAGTGTGGGCTTTGACGATGGAAAGAAATCATAAGTGCTGGGGTTAACTTTAATTGCATAAATACTAAAGGCCCGCGGTTAACTCTAATAAGATAAGTACTGAGGAGAAATTGAAAAACTTAAAAAACATAAAATAAAACACTTTTAAATGGTTGAAAACTTATGTAATGAATTTATATATTTATATAATATATAATATTTATATAAAATAATTAAAAAATAAAAACTAAATAAAATAATAATTGCATTTTTATTAATCTTACGATACCAAAGTGTGGGACAAGAATTCCCATTTCAAATTGATTTTTTGAGTGAATAAATATTGAACGAAAATAAGTCATAAACTTGAACGTGTGTATTTTCCTTTGAACAGGACGGGAAAACATAACATAGCCTTCTAGGCCAGCAGCGAGATCGCCCCAGACCCTTTGTTACCTCTGATACTAAGCTAAAGCTCAACCGTTCTTTCATTCAGTTTGTACCTATGCTGAAATATCTTGGCATTGACCTTTCTTCACAACATAATTTCATTCCTCACGTTGATTACGTTATCCGTAACGCCCGCTTTAGGCACATTCAACTCAAAAATGCTCTTCGAAGGCACAATCAGCTTAGCTGCAAAGTTAAGCTGCTCTGCTATAAACAACTTATTTGCCCCTACTCGTTTGCATATTTCCCATATAGTCTGTAATCTCTTTGGCCCAAAAAGAAAGAATTCGCCTATTTGAGCGGAAACTTCTTCGGGATTGCACCAACTACAAGCGCAAGCACTTCCCCATATTTATTCTTTATGACAATGTCAAGATCACTAGTGTTGACGAGTACACTACTTCAATAAGTGCGACCGTAATCTTCACACCATTCCTCCGCGGCATTCGTGACCCTATTCACAAACTTTATCGCTAATCTCACCGGCGTGTATGAGCTTTAACCCCACTCTCTTCACCATTACCCTATCTCTCTAGTTTATGCCCGTGCTTTCTGGCTTAGATGAACCTAGCTCACTAAGTATTAAGCCTATACATTAAGACTGAAAAGTTTTCGGAAATTCTCATTTAAAATTCGCGCGCTGTATATTTTTCGATATTTTAAGTTTATGCAGTTTGGCAGCACTGTCCTTAATTACTATGCCAAAAATGAGCGCGATCTGTCAGACAGTTCGTTTACGGCAGCTGTTGAAACCAGTTCACCCTCAGTAGTGCGTTGCGAAATGTCTTCGACGGTCGTACGACCGTCCTGAAAGGCTTTGTACCACTCATAAACTTGAGTTTTCGATAAAACTGATTCCCCATAAGCCTTTTGTAGCATTCGCAACGATTCTGCACACGAAATTTCGTTCGAAACACAAAATTTGATGCAAACTCTTTGTTCAATATTTTTTTCCATTGTTTTTTTCGCAACGCACTACTGAGGTGAACTGGTTTCAACAGCTGCCGTAAACGAACTGTCTGACAGATCGCGCTCATTTTTGTCATATTAATTGTCCTTAATTGCTGCCAAACTACATAAACTTAAAATATCGAAAAATATACAGCGCGCGAATTTTAAATGAGAATTTCCGAAAACTTTTCGGTCTTAATGTATGTTCACATCTCTCTCCCCTGATTACTGGAATGAAGTTTCCTCAATGCTGTGAAAATCTTCTCCATTCGACAATTTTAAATCTCTTCATTTTTCTATGAATCGACTTTGTGTATAGGCTCGACATCGCTAGGATGTAAAATATAAATATCCCATTTTGCAGAATTGCGATGTCTAATAATAATAAAAAAATATTTTCGGTTAATTTCTGAAAACTAACTTAAGATCATAAATACAAATGAAGAAACATTCACGAAAATAGACATTTGTCATAATCAATGAATTTTTGTAATTGTAAATTTGTTTTTCTCTTTGTTTGCAATATTTAAATTTTGTTCTCCTAGCGAAAGTCGTAAATAAATTGCAATCACACAAAAAATCAAGTTAATTCTTAAGAAGATAAAAATGTATGGCTTATATTTCCTGACAATGATTATTTTGTACAATTGTATCCATGTCGAAGCACCTGCAGGAGCACGAAGAAACTGGGCATTCAGCATTTTGTCTGAAAAGAAAAATAACATCAATACTTTTAATAATTTTTTAAATTTATAATAATTAATAATTAATTAATAAATCAATTATTTAGAAAAGAACAAACTTTTCTGAAAAAATTAAACAATAAGTCTTTGTAATGTTACGCCCCTGTATAAAGTATAAATCGCTGCGATTGATGCTATTACTAAAAAAAAATAATTAGTCCAACTTATCAAGTTTCGATATATTTCAAAGAATTATAATAAATTCCTCGTCCAATGTGAAGTTAAATACAAATTAAAAAAAAAAATGAAACTCCATTATCATGAAGAGAGTAGAGAAAATTTTTTAAGTAACCATACATTAAATTCATGTATAGTAAACATACTTTTAATTTTGTAGAACTGCCGGATCTACGTCCAGGAGCACTTAGTCATCGTTAATTTTGATGACTAAGTGCTGTTCATTACCACCCAAAGGGATAAAGGAGATCCTCACGGGTTATAACAATAACAACAACCATATCAGGAGAAAACTTCTTTGCTTTATCGTTGAGCATTGCTTCCATTCGAAATTTTATTACAAAAATCCTCTATACCAGGGTTATGTTTAATAAATAATTTTTGTTATTTGTGTTCTTCTAACTCTCAACTACAAGAGAATTCATTTATAATCACTTAAAATGCCATTGGTCAACAAAAATTTTGTTTGTTTTGAAATGATTTTTAACTTGCAATGTCTTTAATGCATATAATTCTATCGTATTTCATATACTCACTTGAACCACTGCATAATATGTTCTGTATGACCGCCATGTCTACAAGTTTGACACCAAGAAAACCATTTCGAAAATGGTTTTGATTGCCACCCAATATTTTCAGTTCCATTCTCAATAGGTGAAAAGTTGTTTAACATGGTACCCATATGAAGAAGGCACAATGAACAGCGAGGCAGAGGCTTACGGCAATTAGGACAGGATGATAACTATATTAATATAAGATTTAATCTATATTTTATAATGCTTGTAAATACATACACATTTCTTACCTTATTTACATTTGTTGAAGCAGTACGTACGCGGTTATCATCCTGCAGCGCATTCGAAACAGATTTACCACAAAAATTACATGAAAGAAAAACAGTGCGTGCTGTACGACTTGTTGAGCGGGCATTTTCAATTTTTATTTCTAACTCTGCACGTTTCTCCCAAAATCCCCATGAGTTCAAGCAATCCAAATAGCTGAGAAATTAAAAAAGAATTTAAACACAAAAACTGTAGCGTAAGAATTAGTAACTATTGACCTGGAAATCCAAAATTGAATTGATTTACTATTAAAATATTCTTTATGAAAGTAATTAATTGCAATTAAAGCCACTGTTTGTACATCAAATGTCCTATCCAAATAAGCTTGTAATATATTAATACCATCTAGAGACTCTCCAGTTAATAGCAAACCATTTAAATCACCCCTTTCTATTGATTTCTGTATTTGCTGTTTAACGAACTCAGAAAGTTTGCTTTCAGATAAATATTTACAGGCAAATGCGATCCGATCTGCTAGTGATACACCTTCTTCAGTCTGTAAACGCATTCGAAAAATTATAACATATTGATATTATAAGATTGAAACTAATAAACTCACCAAAACAGCATCGAAACTATCATTTTCTATTGTAAGGAAAGAAAATATTGCACGTAGATGTGCATCCTGTATTTGCATGTTTGCATTTGAACGTTGGTTACGCCATGTCGAACTACAACGATCCGCATTAAAACTGGATAAGGCTATAGCAGCAATTCGAAACATGCTGGGATCGCGTAAAATATCTGCAGTCTTTGATAAAATATCACAAGCGGAAAGAATTTTTAAATGAAAAACACTTATCATTGCTGCGCGACTGTATTCCTTTGAAATTTATGAAGACAGTAAAAAAACAATAATAATAATAATAGTACACGATCATTACCTTATTATCACACAGTGAGGTTATATAGCTTTCAAAATCCTGTTCTGTAGACCAGCCACAAAGTTTAATGGCTAAATCTCGTTGTTCGCTTCTGCTTGAAAAATACAAATTTGAATGTGAGATATTCATTTTAATTTGTAATTATTTATTTTTTTAACTGTTTAAAAACGATAATAATAATGTTTCTCACCGATAACAAACTAAACTATTCGAATTATTGATGAATTCTGGCCATTGTAACACATGTGATTCAATTCGGGATGTTGACAAGGGATCCGATTGATAGCTCAAACTAATACCTAATATTGACTTTAGTCCTGTTAAGCATTCATCACGATACAAGTTGTTAAGACTAAGCCAAACATTTTTTAAATAGTTATCAAGATCATTAAAACGCTTGACTTCAATCTTTAGACCATAGTCACGTAACGCACGTTGTCGTGTCATATCAACGAGATCCCGCTCAAGTAGATCCGTATCTATTATATCAAAATTTAAGGCAGGATTTGTTCCAATACTTTGTTTTTCATTTAATAAATTACTACGTATTGGAGTATTTGGTGCGGATAATGGGCGTTGCAATAGAAGTGGTAATTTTTTGTGATTGCTGTAGGCAGTTAATATGGAGACTGGTAGCTTGAAGTCCAAAATGTTACCTAATTTAATATTTAAGTACCATACTATATTAAGTTCAAAAAAAGACTTACCAGCTTCAGATAATACTAAGGCACGTTCAAAATCAGTTGGATGCCAGGACAAGCAGGATAGGGAATACCCCTTTATAGACGATTGAAGTTTATTACTAAATGGTAATAATTGTTTCTTTACATGATAAACTTCACGACTTTTTTCTACATCAACGGATCGTACATCATATAAAGTCATGAAAGGTGATTCACGTTGCAATGAAGAAAGAAAACTTGTTCTGTAAGATACAATAAATATTGTGTTGTAAAATATTTATTTTACTTAAAAATAAAAAATAATAATAACTCGCCTTGTTGGACACCAACTTAGCTGTAAGTGGTTTTTTGCAGATTGTATCTGTTTAAGGGGACGATCAATTGCCCGCAAATCCCATAACATTATAAGTGAATCCACGTAACTGCATAAATAGTTTCCATTTGGAGCTACCGATAGCCCATGTACTGTTTTTGTTTGCACATATTGGCTAGCGGCATTAGCCTCTAGATAGCGTACAAAATCAAAATTAAAGATAAGGAATCTGTTAAACAATTGACTCACGTCTTAAATCAAACATTTTAATATGTTTTTGGCTCATGCCAGCTATTAGTAATCGATAGTTTTTATCCCAACAAATTGAATGTGCAGACTCTGACACGCCAAAAAAATTCGCTTTTAAAAAAAAATTTTAATTAAAACTTTTAATTTTATTTTATAAATTAAATAAACCTGTACCTGTATCTTTTGGTAAGCCACGTTCAATATCCCAAATCGTTATGCACGAATCGGAACGATGTCGATCATGTCCAATTGCTAATATATTGGGCTCTGTCTCATTCCAAGCCAAACAAAGACACATACGTTGCTGACGAGGAGCTAAATGTTTAAATACATTATCATTTGAAACGTGAGGAAAATTTTAACTGTTACTTACTATATTCCCAACTGCTATCAATTGCATCATAAAAATTACTTATGCCAATTTTTCCATCACTCAAACCCACTGCAATTATAGGTCGATCACGATGATAAGAAGGTTGCACACAACGCGCATACTGATAACGTACTTCTGTTGCTAAAAATGTTGCTGGTATATTGTGTAGACGACCTTTAATACAGCTTTGCAGTGCTTACACAAATAACTTATAAAAATATATAAATACTTACTTCTTGAAGAGGCGTTTTCTTTTCCGCAAACTTCATACAAACCGATTTCTTGGCCCCATGCTACGAATTTTGTAGAAAAATTTGGAAACCAACCAATGCCATGTATGTTACCGCTCATAATTTTTGTACACTATTTTTGCAAGATTTTGTTTCAACAAAATTATGCTTTTATCACAAATTGATTCGCTTCTATATTGTGTTTTCTCTTACTTTTGGTGCTGTTATGCATTGACAGTTCATAATCAGCTGTTAGCAAGAGAATATGATTGTCAACAAAGAATACTTGTACAGATGTTCTTTGATTGTTATAAGCAGAGAACACAAGTGGGTTGAGACAGCCTCAACGATAAGTGCAAAATAGAAATGAATATTTTTTTCCTCATGAAAAATCAAATATGTATATATTTTCACAATTTATTTTTTATTTAAATTGAAATGAATATCAAAAATCAATTCAAGAAGGTTTGGTTACAAATTTGTTAATAACCTTTTATAGTAGAATTTGTGTTTTTTTTACAATATATCTCATTTAAGGCCGTGCGGGAGTTCGAGTAAATTGATGGTAAATTGAGAGAAATAGTAAATTATATCAACATGGCAGCGAATGTTGGTATTTGCCAGAATTTCGAAAAGGGTAAATTAGATAAAAATTAAGTAAATTTGATGTTACAATTGTGAAAATTTTATAAGATGTTTAATAAATAAATATGTAAAAAAAAATGCCTCTACAAACAGAATAGTATTGAAATTTAACAATTAAAAAATAAAAATATAATTAATGAATTAATTCAATTATTCTACAGCTGGTTTATGATTTCGTTCTAATATAAACACAGCAAATAAAATTTGTTCATAAAACTTCCACATCAAAGTAACAAAATTCCAGAAAAATATGTGAACATTAAAGTTAAGTACGGCTTTGGATCAGTTGGTTGAGGTGCGCTGACTTTGAGCTTCAAATTTGGCAGGACCCGAGTTCGATTCCTGGTACTTGCAGTCTCAAAAAATAATTATTTACGAACAATTAAATACAAGAATTATTTCTAAGACCACTGATGATGGGTATTTGGCAATACTCAAAACAGCTGTATGGTCAGCCAAAAATTCAATTAATTAAAATAATATAAATAATAAAATTTTTGTTGTTGTAGTTCACTACTGTCCGAAAAAACCTCTTTATAAATAAATAAATAAATTTGAAAATGTTTAACCAAAGATAATAAATGAGTTCAATAAATAAATAAATATTTACATATTTATTTAAATGCAGTGCGAAAAATCAATAGAAAATTTCAATTTACTTTACCTCAATTAACTCGAACTCGCACACGACCTAAAAGAATTGTGCGATAAAGCAGTCTTGCGACAAATATGAAATGTTTTATTGGGTTTTAATTAATGAAAACTATATTATTTAACCAAGACTGTGAAATAAAAAATCCATTACTCTTAAATATAGATGCATGTCGAAGAGCTCTGAAGTGTGGCGAAACACAAGTTGTTGCTAAAATTGCGAAGTAACAAATTGACATCACTGTTGCCATCTGTCGAATAATACGTTTTCTCAAAAAATGAATCTTATAGTATGTTTCCAGTACGTACGTACCACTTTTCAAATACAACAACCTTAGCGTGAAGAACAGAAAACTGATCTATACACAAATAATTAGTCCAGCATTACTTTATGGGTGTGTCGCGTTTAGCAAAGCTGCCGACTCTACTATACAAAAGCTACAAGTCGCTCAAAGTCAGGCTCTCCGAAGGCTCTTCAAAGTGCCTTAGTACATCCGCATAAACGACATGCTAAGAGACCTTAGAATAGACCCGATCAAAAAATACATAAGGGACAGAGCCCTGAAGTTATATGCGAAAACTGACAGGCTATCCTCCTTACCATTTTCTAATCTTAGAGTAATCACTCTCCGCACAATTAATATGTAAACACAGAAAAGCTCTATAACTAGAACTTTTTGACACATAAAAGCTCTAAAACTAGAACTTTTTGACACATAAAATCTCTTTCCCATTCCTTAAGTAACTCATGATAATGTAAACTCAAAAAGCTCTATGTTACTATATGACTTACTAAGTACGTAGTGGAAACGTAGTATTATACTGCGTTTCCACTGCTTACCTTGTAAGTTACTTAGTAACATTGAGCTTCTTGTCATTTACATTAGCACAAAATACTTAAGCAATTGGAAAGAGCGTTTATGTGTCAAAATTTTTAGTTGTAGAGCTTTTCTTTGTTTACATTTTAATTGTAAGCAGATGATATTAAATGTTATATTATCAGAAAAAAATATATCAGCATGGAAGAAAACGCAGCAAATTTAAATTGCAACTTGCAACGATTTATAAAAAATTACTAATTATTCAAAAACAATTAATTACAGTGCTTTTTTCATTGATTTCTAGAAACGGAAGAAAGTGCTGGACTTTGGTAAATTTGGGCAGTAATTTTTATTAAATAAAGAGTAAAATTTAAATGAGTTACTTTTTGAGAAAAGAATGAAAAAATTTTGGGAAGAGGATTGCCAAAAAATGACGCGTATATCGGTTCTGAGAAGACAACAGGGGCTTCAGAACAACTTTGAACACTAAAAAATCAAAATCCAAATGGAAAAAAAATAAGGCGATGTTTAGTTCGAATTTTCAGTAAGTTTTATTTTAATTAATAACTAATAATAAAACTAGTAACTTATAAATTAATAATAAAAACAACAAAAAATAAATACTTATACATATTTCATATATTTAAAAAATTTATAAAAAAAATTAAATTATTCATTTACTTATCGCTTCAACGTCCATAGTGGAGTATGAACGTCATCTCCGTACAGCAGTAACGAGGCGTCAGCTTTTTGGCAAGGTGTTCACAATATAATCAAAACAGAATTCCAACTATAACGTATTCCCCCTACTTCTAAGTTTCGACATCCGTAAGATGGTGAGTTAATTGGAGAGCAAATAGACATATTTTCTTTATATATTTTGGGTACCCTATATATTCAAAGTGGATTTGCTGTATATGTGCATAATTTTTGTTTCTCTTTTTTGTTTATTATCTGATTTTTAAAATGTTTTGTAACTATTGCATTATTTTTTGTTTGTAGAGTTAGAGTTGGATCAGTTCTAAATATTTTGTACGCCATTATATCATTCACTATATTCTTTATTTCTTTGTCATTATTATTATTATTCTGAAAAATGGATAGTGCATTGTAACCTTAAAGACCTATTGTGCCCCTTAGTCGAAGTAGAGTGGTTCTCCAAGTTTGATTTCTTTAATGAAAGACAGTATAGAGCCTATATTCCTAAGTCTTAAATCCTTGTGATCCATGAAACACACTACTAGGTGTTTCTTCCGCTTATGCGATAGTGCCGGACACTCCTCAAGCATATGGTAGCAGTTTTTTTCTCCTTTCCTTAGAATCTGCAGTCTGAGTTGGATTAAGTTCCAAATTTTGTTACTGCGGCCGGTTAATAATCCCGTAATATTTCTTTGGTTATTCTTTGATTGTTTTATGTAAACTTTAAAGTGTTTTAGGTTGCAGGTCCCTAAAAGCATTTTAGATAGTGATAGTCTTGGTAGCCTTTCCCAATAGAGTCCTCTTTCTTTCTCCTTTGCGTCGTCATAAAAATGGAAACAGTTCCTTTGCCTAGACCACAGTAATGTTCTGGGGTTATCATTATTGAAGCCGCGCTTCTTCTTGCCATTTCATTCCCTTGGAAACTAGCATGCCTCGAGTGTATTCAGTTTGTCAATGCACTCCCATACCAGTTTCAATGTTATTTGGTAGGACATGAGTGCCATTATAGCTGCTTGCAGTTCCGGTAGTTGCGTTCAAGGTTAAAACAGGTGCATCTATCTATCGCGTATATTTTCGCTTGAAAGGTTGTTATATCTTTCCTATTGCTTTCCAGTATCTTTTGTTTGGTCTATATATACCAGCTACAGCTCCCTAACTAGTAAGAGAGCCGCCTTTATATCATGTTATCATGTTTTCCTTTATTATTTGAGTTTTGTGCAAGCCTTCTCAATTCTTTTTGTTGGCAAGTTCAGTGTTCAAATTTTTCAACCAAATCCCTCTTCAACCTGGACATAATTCTATAACTCCAATTATGTTCAAAAATCTGCCCCTCGCAGCAATTTCATTCATTACAAAGATTTTTAAGGCCATAATAAAATTTGAAAATATCCCGAAGGAATGGAAAAAAGCATTAATTATAATGGTTCAAAAGCCAAAAAGATGTCCCTATAAATACCAATTAAGTAATATCAACATTTGCTAACGATACAGCTATTTTGTGCCAACATAAGAACGCCACAGTCGCTTCCATTCAACTGCAAATCATTTGCGCTTTATAGAAAGCTGATTATTATTATGGTGAATTAAGGTCAATGAGCAAAAATGTTGTCATATAACATTCTCACTTAACTGATCCTCCTCGGAATGATAGACTGGCCATCTTGCTTTCCTAAAGATCATCCTGATTAATTCAACATATACGCCGTGATATCTGGTAAATAAACCCTGGCTATTTATTCAAAGGTCCATTGAAATAATTTATAAATCATTATATACATCATTATAGTATGTTTATATAAGATAATTTGTATTGTAATGTTATTAGTCTATAAGATTCTAAAACTAATTGTTAGGCTTTAATTTAAAGCGATTCAATAAGGATTTATTCTTAAATAAAAAAAAAATTTTTTTTTTTAAAGTTTCAGTTTCTGGGATTTGTTTAGTCAAAGTGTCAAATTTTTTACAGTTGGTCCCAAGACCCGTCAACTTGTTTGTAATTACTCTTAGAGCAGCTCTTTGTGCTTATGATTGCATATGAATGTGAAGAGATTTGAGTTTCAGAAGTACTTCAATTGATGACGTAGGACATGTTTTCATTGTTCCCGTTATACTTACACACGCAAGTAGCTGTAACTCCAATACCATCGGCGCCATTTCTATCCAGTTCTACAAATAGTTCATCTACTACAATACTCCACGTTAGGGGTGATAGTAGTCTCCTTTGTGGGCACTCTCGCGAAGTCTTTGCAATAACATTCCCTATACTGGTTGTAATTTCTACTCTTCTGGCGCGGAGCATATTCCTCATCCAGCGTGAGAGTGTGCTATTAATTTCTCTTCTACAAAATGTTGAGTTTATAACCTCATGTGAAGTGTTATCAAAAGCTCCTTCAATATCTAGGAGAGTGCAAATTGCTATTTCTTTCTTTTCTATGCTATCCTCGATTGTGCTACTTAGTTGATGTAGGGCCGTTTCTGTCGATTGAGATGTAAGGCAGATTGATCTAAGGG